ATGCCTTCGCCTCGCATTCTCATGGCCTCGCCATATCTTGGAGATTTCGAAATTTCGGCCCGAACGGAAGCCACAAAGGGTACAAGTGTGCACACAAAAGGAAGATTAATCATTGAATGTCGAGTATTTGAATAGCGTTTTGTGTAAACTAATTCATGCTTGATCGGCCATGTGCGTGCGCGCGCGCGCACGTGTATGTATTTATTTATTTATTTTTTCCGGAATTTTCAGAAAAGTCCACTTTCATCTCTGATTTTAGAACAGGGTTGTGAAACACATTTTTTTTGTTGCAAGCCACATTGCAGTTACCCTTTCCCTTGGAGGGCTGTTATGAAACCATCTAAAAAAGTGAAGAATAACGGTTTGATTAGCTGTTGTTTAATTTACTGAAATGAGGGTTTGGTAACATGAAAATGCTTACAATATCTCTCTTATTTATTACATATGAGAATTTGAAATATTGTTACAGAGTTTAGCAAGAATCATGAAAGTTGAAATGTTTGATTTGCTTTTGTGGGCTGCATAAAATGATGTGGTGGGCCAGATCTGGCCCCAGAGCCTTGAGTTTGACACCAGTCCTTTAGAAGTCAGTAACTTGGCAAACAACTTGACAGTAGTATGCACTGCAATTTACTGTACTTCAAAGTTAGTGGATTGTTATCCAGTACCTGCATGTGATTTGTGGATAGTTCTTAAAATATCTTAAAAATGTTTTGGGAGTTTTTCTCCAAAATATATATATTTTTAAATATCAAGCCCAAAAAATACACCATTTAAAAACAAAGACAAAACTAATCATAAAAGTAATAAACGGTCTCGGACTATCAGAATCAGAGTGTGTCATTTACATTTTTTGAACCGCCTTGAAAAGTAATTCGACGTCTCTCTCCAGCCATGGTGTACTTGAGCGCTGCTAGCCGCAAACACTGGAGCTGCCGCTACTTTCATAACTTTGCTGCTGTGAATTGGGAATTTCTCCAGTGCGAGACTAATAAAGGTTTTCTTATCTTATCTTACTAAACTCTGCCAACGAGCGATTTACAATAAAGTGTCAGTTTGTTTGTTTGTTTGTTTGTTTGTTTATTTATTCATTCATTCATTCATTTTCGGGATGATGTTGTGTTGCTGACGTCTGGAGCAACAGTTTGTAACGGCAATATAAGCGCCTCAAACATAGTCCGCAAGATGAGGCAAGTTAGCCGTGAGCCTGCAACATGCTGCCGGAAACAACTTCAAAACAAAAGATTACCAAGATAGTGATGTCTTCAGCATGCATTGGTGGCGTGTTACTGTGATGCGTAGCATGAACAATTGTTGCTCCGGTTGGCTTGACTTCTTCCTGAGTGAACATGTAAATAAGGGGGTACTCGAGACAGAAAAAAATGCCTTGCGCCCAGTTTTGAATTGCGGTACTCGAATTAGTTGAAGATTCGTTTTACCCCAAATTAAGGCAATTATCGCCCGAACCTAGGTATGGTGACAGCAGTGGTACTGGTGTATGTAATGATATCAAAACATGGATTAATCCCTAGAATTTGCTCTGGATTAGATTTATGTCCAGGGCAATTCCCATGCCATGCAATTCAGAAGTAGGCCATTAAGTTAAAACACATTCCTGAGAATAGGCCAATGAGTGTTTACATTTTGCTTGTCTGCTGACCCTTGAATACTGTAATAGAGCTCTGCAATCTTGCTTTTCCTTCTAGGAGTGATGAATGACGCTGATTATCTGGGTCGAAGCATGCCCTATCGAGAACTTGTATGCACTATATGCAACATTTGGTGATGTTTTGAACCCCACACTTCTGAAGAAAAGTAACTTGAAAATCCATTAAGACAGTAAATTATTCTTTTGATTTCACACTTAATTACTAAGTCTCCGAATTACACTTATCAGTAAATGTGAGGACGAGGCACATCGCTAAAGACACACACACAGCACTTAGCTCAACAATTTAGTATGTTCTGGCTGTTAGCAAATGCCGATCAGGGCATCAAATTGTAGTACAGCTCTCCTTAGCTTCTTGCTTTCATGTGACAGTGTTTCTGTTTCAAAACAGTCGATCTTTGCCCAGTCAGTTGATCTTTGCCCAGTGTAGCTGTTAAATTAATCATGGGTCAAGAAACTCGCCTTGGGGTGGAGGTGCATTACAGTAATCACTCGTTTATCGCGGTTAATGGGGACCAAAACCACCCGCGATAAACAAAAATCCGCGAAGTAGCGACCAATTAACATATTAAATTATTATTTTTTTGTTTTTATTTTTTTTTAAGTCCGCAAACGGTCCGCGAGAAGCTGCGAAAGTCAGCAAAACAACAGCGAGTCACATAAAGCAACATATACAGTACTGTACTCCATGTATATGAAAAAAAATGATTTAAAAAATGTTTTTTTATGAATATGTTTAAAAAAAAATCTGCGATGCACTGAAGCCGCGATAAACGAACCGCGAAATAGCGAGGGATCACTGTACTTGAGTCAGCTTGTTTGCTCATTTTCGGAAATAGGCAACTTAGAAAACATTTATTCGGTTGTCTAATTTCACACTTGATAGAGACCCAAGTGTTTGTATAGAATACATCGGGTACAAAAGAGTGACATTAACAG